AGATACAATTGGTAGGGTTGATTTTAGACAGTCATTGCATTTTTCCAAAGTCAATAAGTTAATAGGTTGGAGTACAAGACCTGAGAGGCAGCGTTTGAAAAATTACAGTACATATTGACATAAAGATTTGAAAGACATGTAGAGCTTTAAATAAAAATAGAATGTAATATAATTTAAATTGCATTTACACTTTATCTAAAACTTATGTACCTAAATATAGTTTGACACATATAAGGTACTGTGCAAGAGTCTCGAGCTGTCCCTCAGTTCTTTATATTTTGCTTCCAAGCAGTCAGACTCTCATTGAACCTTTTCTTGAGAAATAATTCTCCAGGCTTTCTCAAAGTCTTTGGACGTTTTCAGTCTGGCCCTTGTCCCTGGCCATTTTCAATTTGTTCTTTTCTCTAAGAAAAGGCCAACAATAACACAGTTTAACTAGCATAAAATAGTTTTTTGGGGGGTACAAGGTGATTCTCAAAGAACTATTAGCCAAAAATCACAGCATATCTCTGCATGGTGTGCAGTGTGCTTTTAAAGATTTGTAGGAAACTGACAAGTGTCAGGCCTAAAAAAAAACCCCTATTGATGAACAGTTGAAACTCTGCCCTTAATAAACAGCAGAGAGCTGACCTGGACCTGATCAGAAATGGTTTCAGTGGAAGGATGGCTGTCAAGAAGCTGTTCTTAATGAAGAGAAATGGAGAAAAGGCTGAGTTATGGCAAATTACATGCAGAAAAATGCATTTTAGAAAGTGTCTGATTGCTACAGCATCGTTTTTCAGCCCGACAATGATCCCAAACACACTACCATTGCAGGAAAAGCAAACCTGTACAGAAAAACTAACAATGAAACACTATCAGTCATGGATTGGCCTCAACATTATTGAAGCAGTGCAGGAACATCTTGACAGAACAAAACACAAGGCAGCCAATATCCAAAGAAGAGCTTTGAATGTCCTTCAAGAAGCCTGGAGAACTATTCCTGAAGACTACTTAAATTAATTACAAGAAAGCTGCCTGTGTTGAAGAATAAAGGTGATCATAACAAATATTGATTTTAACCCTTGTTAGAATTCTGTCGTTGCCTTTCCATTTATATTAGCAAATTCAAATAAATTGCATAAACTTTCCATTTTCCTGCCAAAATAGAAAGAAACAAAAGGTGGTTGGAGACTTTTGCACAGTACTGTCTACTACATACAATTTATGAAGGGTTGGGCATGAGTCATGGAGCAGTCAAGGAAAACACTGGCCAAAATGTGCACAAGCCCTGTATGAAATAAGTTTAATGATGGGACTAATGAACCACTCACTGACTGTGTTTAAATATCAGAGCCTCAAGTCGGTGTGAAAGTGCAGTGAGTGCAACTGAAACAAATCTCATCTCTCGTCTGCGTTTAATGGAAGCGACTGCCCTCTGCTGGCTAATTGTTGTCATTACCAGCCTTCTTCTAAAGCATGCCTACGGATTCCAGCAGTTCATGAGCGCAATATGGGGCCCTAAATTAATTCTTTAACATCAATTTAAATCAAGTAACAAATTGCTTCATTTATACTCTTCTTCATCTTCAGTTTGTTGTCAATGTTGCAGATTGTGTTGATTCCAGGAAAAAAAAAAAGAAAAAAAGAAAAAGGACAGCCAACTACTGCTAGCTGAGCTCAGCCGTTTATCAGCCAGCAAATAAACATGGCTTCAGCAGACTGCCTCCATATGGCTCCATGCAGGAGAGCCTCCCCTCACTTTCTGATCAGTCAGCAGAGAATCAATGTGCTCCTAACAGAAAATATTGTCCTCCATCAGTCATCCACGTCGTTCACCACATGTGGCCTCGATTCAGACACACCAACGCTGACCTCCGCCCTCTGTAGAACATCGTGCTACCACAGGAGCTCCATGTCTACTCAGTTTGTGTGCAATACTGAACATTTCTTTGGACAAACAACAGCAGAACAATGGTACAGTATGTACAAAAAAGATCATAGCAGTCAAAGATCTCAGCCAACAGCTATGTTTCCTGGTACCTGGTTAAAATAAAACAAGGAGCAAGCATGAGACAGAGAGCAGTGGTGGGGCATGTACTAATCTAAAGTAAAGTGGCAATCTTACTATATGAAAATGCAAATGAAACTCCCATGTGCTTGAAATGGTATGTAATAAAAAATACTGAAAATGTAAAAACAAAGTCTTTAACTGCTTCAGGTTGACTCTAATTATAGATGCAAGCCGGTTAAAGTGGAGATAATTTGAACTTAAAATGCGAGGTAGCTCAGCATCTAATTATGCCTCGTACGGCGTAATGACATGTTTTCCATGCACAAATCGACATCTAAACACAGCCTCACAAAATCAGAGCAAAAATAAAAAAGCTGAATATTTTCCTCTAAAACTAGAGGACAGTATCGATACATTTTGAGTATTTTGCCCATGTAACTTATTACATCCATTCCCATTACTAAAACAATTTAACTACAATGAGATTCAGGCGTATTTTCCAGCCTGTTGCAAAGCATCATTTTACTGCCTACAGTTTAAAATGCATAATCCCGAGTGGGTGTGATTCTCCTTGGAAGCCTATTCTTTTCCCTGTGTGTTATTGTTAAGAACCAGTAAAACTGGTCTCCAAAAAAAAGTCTCCAAAAACCGGTTTGAGACACCCCCCCCCCCTTCCTCAACAGATTTCATTTTGTGACTTCCCCTTTGCGTGCATGTGCATGTGTCAACTCACTCTCTGTGATGTGAAGACCAGTCAGTCAAAGCTCCCAAAGAGTTCAGCTGCTCCTGCAGCGCTAAAATCCTTAGCCCGATGTATCCGGACACCAACAGGAGCAACACCAGCCTACAAACACCCACAGTAAAGTCTTGAATGTGTGTTGTGCAGGAAGAACTACAGCCTGAGAGTCTAGGATGAGTACATGTTGTACAGGACTAACAGCAGGATATCAGAGACTTGGATCTGTGTGCAGCCTTGATAACATTTCCACAACCAAGGTTTAGATATTTGTCTTTCCTGGAGAGTTTGCAGCCATTCCAGTAAATCAGTATGAGAAAAAAAAGCATGCCAAGATCCAGTAGATGTGTGAGTGCTTTTGCAGTTTTATACCTCAAAAACATGAATTTTGGTCTGCTGAAAAATTCTACATAAAGCAAAAGCTCATGGTCCTTTTTTCCCTTCAAACCTTCAGTGTTTTAGGATGTACAGTCAGTTTCAGTCAAACTCACAGCTGTGACTAGAATCGTGTTGTCATGGACCCTGGGTTTTGTGTTTTTATGTGATTTCTTCTGATTTGAGAAGTGATTCATGTTTAATTATTTATAGTTTCCTGCTTTTACCCCCTGAAAGTTGATTCTGTTCATCTGGACGTAACGTTTTCAGTGGGAGAAACGTTTCGTCACTCATCCAAGTGACGTCTACAGTCTCTGCTGACTGCAGGTTTCCCCAACCCCAACCACTGATCAAAGACCTTGAGCAGTGGTTGCTGATCAGTGGTCATGACAATTTGCATGTTAATGATCAAGAAGCTGACCTCACAGCCTAATGTTCCTTCAGTGGTGCTAGTTTCAGTCATTGTGCAAATGTACTGTTTATAAGATTGGGGAAACCTGCTGAGAGTACAGAAGTCACTTGGATGAGCGACAAAATGTTTCTCCCACCAAAAATGTTACGTCCAGATGAACAGAATCAACTTTTTTTGGATTTCCTTACCTGGATGATTGAGCATGCATCAAGAAATCTTTTCCCTTTAGTTCCTAGTTGACCTAGATGACCTAGATGACATCGGACTAATTAGTTCCTTTTTTGTGTTCCCATCCTGTTCCTTCAGTCTTGTCTGTCTGTTTGTCTTTTTGTTTCACTTTAATCTGATCTCCTTGTACAGTTTTGTCTCTTGTTTCCTGTTGTATTTTGCTCATCTTATTTCTCTGTGTCATGTTTCACGTTTTACTTCCTTTGTCTTGTTTTCTTGATTAGTTTCAGCTGCCCTCCCACCTGTTTCCGCTCCCCTCTTTATTATAGTTAACTAAATATGGAGGAAATATCCTGGGTTTTATTATCTGTTAGTTCGGTAAAAATTTTAATACGGCTTTCCTGATGAGACGTTGATTGATGCCTTTATTGAGACAAGACCGTGAGGGAATTGCTTTTAAAACGTTCCGTGTCTTTATTGTAATACCTGCACTGATTTTCCTAAATCTCGCCTCTGACATATGTCACTCATACAAGATAAAACTAAGACTGAAATGGATAAAAACTACACTAAGGGTAAACATTTAAAAAGAATAAAAGAAATAACTGAAAGGTGAAAATCTACGCTGGAAACTAAACTGAAATAAAAACAAAAAGTCAAAATCAAAGAAAAATAAAAGCTAATTAGAAAATGTGAACTTATAATAACTCTGGTCGGAGTCCCTGGATGTTGTGTTTCCTTACCCTGTGTTGTCCCTAAAGATCTTTTTGCACTCTTGTGTATTACCAGCGATAAAGCCGATTTTTGAATTTATTCCTGTTTCCCTGAGTCCTGCGTTCAGGTCCACAATCTGCCTTCCACATAGCTGGTCTATAACACAGAAGCTGGGTGAAGGCGCCGTGTTTAAATTTCTAATCTCCTTCCACATCGTTACTGTTGAGATGACCCTAATGGTACATCACGTTTTCTTCCTTCTACAAAGAAACTGCTCACTACAGATTTCAAGCAGTATTTATCTATGAATCTGAAAACTATACTCACAGCACCATGTAGATGTGGAAGACAACACTGAGAGTCTTAAGTTCTGGCAGTTGTGCAATGAACCTCCAAATCCACAGTCCAGCTGACATAGACCAAAAGAACAAATAAAAAAAATTAATACTTGTTCTACAATCACACGACTCTGTATGGCTGCAACATGTGTGTGTTTGTATTTGAATACACACCGCTGTCTTCTTCATCTATTATGCTGTTTTGACGAGTGGAGTTGGCTGTGCTGGGGCCTGAAAAGACATTAAGACAAGTAAGCTCAGCAATTAAACCCCTTAATG